TTATGTGTATATTTCATAATCGTTACCAGTGTGTTTGTTTACAATACACAAACTGTTACATGATAGCTTGAGTTGATAAAGCCGAAACCCAGCATATCGACTGGTCAACGATATAGCCAATAATCAATCTCTATCCAAACTGTTGAGTGACCAAACGTGCTCTTCAGAAATTTCGCCCACGCCCCATCACCTGTCCTTTTCTCTGTGACAGGTATCTCATGATACGATTGGTTACAGATAACATATGACCAGCCACTATATTGAACAGTTGAGATACAGAACGTTCTATTCAGGAAATTTGATGACGCCCTATCACGTGACTCTTTGTTTTATGTCTATGCAAGGAATATGTAGTATACATTTTTTATATGTATGTTGGTATGGTCACGTATGTTTTCTGCATTAAATCTAGATGAAACAAAGTGCCAAGCTATGAATGTGCTCTATGTTAGTCACAGACTAGCGTTATGTAGTACTTTCATTAAAATAATTCGTATACACTAGAAATGTATCGGCAAAACGCTATTTTCGTCGAAGATTATAAAATATGTAAGTAAATTCTTCTTTACAGTATGTCATTGTCATAGTTGTTTTGTAAAATTAAACCTCACACAATGATATGAGAGAGAGAATTTGTTTATGTGTGTCTCATCTCATACATACAAAGAATACATGCATATTGTGATAAAATATAAATGTACAAGCCGCCAAAGGTCTACAACAGAGACTTGCAATAAAATTACATAAAACTTTGCAATACACGATATGTATTCACACCTGCTTTCTTTCAACATATATCTTTACGACACAATTAAACAATCAGGAATTGTTTGTACGACTAGACAGTTTCCTGTCATCCCCGAAACCTGCCAGGGAAATCAGGTTTGATTAGCACTAATTAGTCTCGGCACAGCGAGTGGGCAATCAGCGAGGGGTTCCAGGTGTTGAGAAGTGAGGTGGCTCTCGGGCTTAATGAGTTCAGGGCGGTGGAGTAGCCTAGTGGTAGTCTCTCGTACAGACCCTGAAGCAAATATATCCAAGAAAGCTCACACAAGTCTAGAAAATGTGGCAAGTCTAGATTTCCTCAGCTTCTGAAAATGAAGAAAGTCTCAGGGCTCCTTTTCATTATATATATATTTTTTTTACTATGAACTTTTTTCAGTAAAATATGTTCATTTTAGAGACTAGTTGTTAGTCTAGCCTAGTGGTTAAAGCGTTCGCTCGTCACGCTGAAGACCCGGGTTCGATTCCCACATGGATACAATGTATGAAACCTATTTCTGGTGTCCCCGTGATATTGCTGGAATATTGCTAAAAGACAGACAGACAGACATATATTTTATTTCAGTCTCACCTCACATAAAATACATATATAAATATGTTTATAAAATATAGCATAAGTGAGCCACCCTTTAAGGGTTATGAGAGACTAATGTATTAATACATTATAAATACTAAATAATAAATAATTATATAGGTACATACAGTATAAAATCTATCTGTATAAAATATGTTTTCTGCGTAAAACTAAACTCACTCACTCACTCACAAAGACAATCGAAGCATAATGCAACCGATGTTAGAATTAAAATTATATCAGACAGACAGACAGACAGACAGGTTTATTCGGTAATTTAGGCCCAAGGCCCATAATACATACATTTGGCAAAAGTAAATACATACTGAGTAAAGCTAAGTAAAGTTTAGTATTGATTTATTTTACAGTTATTCATTCCTTCTACGGCGAACTTGTGAAAGATATTTACTCAATGATTTTAAAATATGTATATTGTCTGATGACAACAATCGGATGAAGGTTTCAATTGTCGGTGGTTGAGTCAGATATATTGAAAAACAATCAGATCTTTGTTGGGAATATTTTGGACATATTAATAAAATATGGAATTCATCTTCGATGTAATCAAGGCCAGCAGCATGACAAAAGAGGCGGAGACGTTCATTATACGCGGTGTTTGTATGACGGCCACATTCCACTGCGAGTCTTAAGTTACAGCACCGAAACTGAGTTATGATTTTACGTTGATTTGGTAGCAATTCACTGGTTAAATATGGTTCGACGCTTAGAAATGATTTAAATTGTGAATAGTATTTACAAATTATATCAAACTAATATGGTAATGCTAATTGTGGTTAAATCAGTTTTACTTCACAAACAAACCTCACGTGGTCCACCATAGAGAATACATTCAGCTTCGTCCCAACCCTGTTAATCGGGCATTACTATATGGAGTATGTCACTTGTGGTCTGTGACGGGTAAATTCAACACCAGCGTATTTTATACAATTATTGTTTTGTACATCTCACATATACATGTACTTGGGAAGGGTGGAGTAGCTTAGTGGTTAAAGCGTTCGCTCATCACACCGAAGATCCGGGCTCGATTCCACAGACGGGTGCAATTACGGAAGCTAGTTTCTGGTGTTCCCCTGTCGTGATATTACTGGAATGATGCTACAAGCGGCGTAAAACTAAATTTACTCACATCGAGTAGGTAACGTCGTGGACACCACCACGTCCCTTCAAACATCAGTCCCTATTACCTGAGGAAACAGATTATATCGAGCTTGAAAATGAGGATGACAATTGTAGGACAAGATCACTAGTGATGACACCAGGTGTTCACAAAGACAATCAGCAGATCCTGGTTTTCCGGTAGACATACAACTTGCCTCAATTCGATGTGTTGCATGGTGAAGGATGTTGGAAATCGCAGGTTTTCTTATGTCTTCATTCACAAAACAGTATCCCGTTATATCGATAATGTTCTGTCTGGAATCACCGTTGTTTGGAAAAGACTAATTCCTGCCGTTGACATAGAACTTAGCATGAAACATGCACCTGAAAATGCAGAAATAGCAATTATTCTTTGTCTCGATTTGTTTAATGTACTTTTCCCATTAATAGTACGTTATAATAAATGTGAATCTTTATTCTAGGGTAAAATAATTTGGTTCCACACAGTTTTAACCAGGCAGCAACTGGTCCTACCTTATTACTTCAGCTGTGTGAAAATACTGGTGCACTGTACCATCAGCTTCGTACTGTTCGGTGTCATTTACATAAGATTTTATACGATCGAAACGGAGGAACGATGAACAGCAACAGGTCATTCACAAGCCCACGACACCCAATATGGATCAATTGGGATGCGATCCCATGATATCCGTGTTTCTGTGCAAACACCCCCCACCCCCCAACCCCCTCGCGTCAAAATAACAGTGGTATGTCATGCCGAATGCTATGAACATTTGTCTTCGTAACATCGTAACATTAGGGAATGTTATGGTAGAAATTAACATTGCTTTGATTTCAAACCGGGTTAGTATATAATCTTACTCCATACACCACGACCCGTGAAGATCCGGGTTAGATTTGGTCTTCAGTACTCATGCTTGTCGTAAGAGACGACTAACGGGATCGGGTGGTCAGGCTCGCTGACTTGGTTGACACATGTCATCTTATCCCAATTGCGTAGATCGATGCTCATGCTGTTGATCACTGGATTGTCTGGTCCAGACTCGATTATTTACCGACCGCCGCCATATAGCTGGGATATTGCCGAGTGCGGCGTAAAACTAAACTCACTCACTTACTCAATACGCCACACATAAATGTGAATGTTTTTGTATATAGACATGTATTAAACACGTCACAATTTAATTCTGGACTCACGAAAGTCCAGAAACTCTCCGCACTGTGGGCACTTTCTGACAAAGGTTTTGACCAAATGGAACATGCGGTTGTTATTAATACATGCCAAGGATGAAAAAATGCACACAAAAAATGTCGAAAACTTTCAATTTACACTCGCTCGCCCATGGGCAGGCCCATGGGCGAGCGAGTTGAAATTGACAGTTTTCGAAACGTTTTTTTTTCATTTTTTCATCCTTGGCATGGTCCATGGTCATTTGACCGGTCCGTCACAAGAAAAAGTACTTTTTGTGACGAGCTAAGACGCCGCTGTTACTGCTTCTGAGCTAAAACGAATTGGTGTTTCTGCTTTGCCCGGACCTAGTGTAGCGTATGGAATGGTCAAACTCGGCAAAACTGATCCCGACGTCTGTCTGCACGTCTGTCCGCCAAACTATTTCCCCCCTATTTTCTCCGGAACTATTCAACGTACAGAACTGAGATTGTGCAGAGAGCTTCCCATCAGCTGTGCCTACCAATATAGTAAATGTCAAGTCATTCACTTTTCAGCTTTCGTTGCTATGGCAATCTGAATAATAATAAGTTGAAATCCAAGATGGCGGCCAAACGGCGGGCAGTATCCCCTTGGAACAAAGCGGTCGAAAATCATCGGAATCTGATGGCAGAGACACATACCAAATATGGACGCTATTGGGTCGATGCTGACGGAGATATATGCTGTTTAAGGCCGTTCTGATAGCATATCGCATTTTTGCACACTTTCAATCCAATATGGCCGCCAAACCACGTGACTTTTGACATACGACTAAGAACAGAAAATGTACAGCAACAACAGACAACATCTAAACCAGCTTGTTGAAGACTTTTCCCTGTTAAGTTTGCTTTTGAAAAACCCGTGAAGAACAACAGAGTGGGAAAGAAACTGAGTGCAACACGTCACAATTTAATTCTGGACTCACGAAAGTCCAGAAACTCTCCGCACTGTGGGCACTTTCTGACAAGGGTTTTGACCAAATGGAACATGCGGTTGTTATTAATACATGCCAAGGATGAAAAAATGCACACAAAAAATGTCGAAAACTTTTAATTTACACTCGCTCGCCCATGGGCCACTGTTCGCCCATGGGCAGGCCCATGGGCGAGCGAGTTGAAATTGACAGTTTTCGAAACGTTTTTTTTTCATTTTTTCATCCTTGGCATGTATTTATAACAACTGCATGTTCGATTTGGTCAAATCCCTTGTCAGAAAGTGTCCACAGTGCGTAGAGTTTCTGGACTTTCGTGAGTCCAGAATTAAATTGTGACGTGTTATTATTGAAAGTCATACCTCCGGACACGAACGTGTAATCATACACTTGTGTGACGTCATAAATGAAGCCTGAAAAGACACATAAACATCATAAACACGCCTTATTTGAATCATGTATTCCTGTCAAAAGAATTATTACATTTCATAATATTGTATTTGATGCAAACATCTAAAAACTTTGCTAGATAGAGAACAGTCACCGACCCGCTGCAAACATGTGGTCCAAATTGAAACCCATAATCAATATAGTCATCATAAAACGTTTTAGTATTGTTTCATGTTTAGCAACTCTTCAATATTGGTGTATACTCAATTTGCTCGGCAATATATTATCGATGATAAATATAATCAAAACGAGTTTAGCATGTCTGTGCACATTAAGGTTGTCTTGTACTTTTAACATGAACGTTCTCAAATGTAAAATTCAACGTGCATCACGTATTCTTATTTGTGCTACATTGACCTGCTGACAACGGATTAACTCCTAAGTTAAATCAGCTTTTCAAACACGAGGTTCCCAGGGAACTATTCTGATAATGGACACACACCCCCACCCAATCCCTCCCGTAGTTGTACCCTTGTTGCCATCTTGTATCTGATCCCATTTATCAAACTGTGTACTGTTTATTCACATACAGATTTCAATGGGCACGTAATTTCATACTCAGCTTGCACGGGAACCAAATGCCCCTTGTTAAGCGCATTTTAGCAGCTACTAGTTGGGAAAGGCGGTTTGTGAACTCTAATGTTATTTTAATAATTTAAATTGAATTTAACTAATACAAATTGTGCATGTCTTCCAAACTTACTTGCAATGACTGGTCCCAAGAGATATCCAATTCCACAAGAGAAATACACTATACCGAAACCAATGGCAACGTCAGACAAACTGGTAAGTTGTATAGTTAATGGTCCCATCAATGAATTTGTTCCATGGCTGTACAAGCCATACAATAATGCAAACGCTATCTGGCAGTGATATGTACTGGAAAACAGGGGAAAGAAGATGGTGATGAGTCCGGTAACACCAACAATCCCAAACTGAAGCAACGTGTATTCCGTACTGGGACTGGAAGCCATGAGACCGATGACTACCCTCGTGAAGATGCCACCGGCTCCCATTGCACTTAACAGACTTTCTGCCTGTCGTGGCGAACTGCCTTTACTTTCTGCATAGTTCGGAAGATGGAATATACAGGCAGCGTCACCTAGCGACCAGAACAAGATTGCAAAGTTGTACATAAGAAAATCCCTTTTTGTCATTATATTTGACAAAAGTCGTATATTACAACATTGGATTTTCGGTTCCTCGTTGGTCTGTGTTCGAGGTGTGATGTCTTCTGAGAGAAATGGAATTGTTGTTTGATCTGTGTTGGTATCCTTCGTAGGGTTTGTACCAGCAACTGTCGTATCACTTCTCGGAAACATTTCATCGGAGTCTTGAATGGATGCTTCTTTGGCTGATACATCATCTTCGTCTTTGTGGACAACTATGAAAGATTCGTTGGAAGGTATTGATGGTTTTCGCAGTAAGGATGCGGCAATTGACATATGGAAAGAAATGGCACCCATTATCAACAAAGTTCCATGCAGGTTATATTGGTCAAGAAGGTATCTTGTGAGTGGACCTGCTATGAACAGCCCCAGAGCACCTCCTGCCATGCATACGCCATAGGCTGCTGGCCTCCTCTTCTCGAAGTAGTGACCAGGGACCACGCCTACCACGTTTCCACAAAGGGATAATCCAAAGCCTAAAAAGGCGAAAGATTATAAATTAAGTAGCGAATACATATTGTTTTACGTCGCAGTCAGCAATATTCCACTGATTAATCATTAATTAACTCACCGCCGGTAACACATGTGATTAACAACACGAACAACAGTGTGTCTGTTTGTTGTTTAACGTCTAACTCAGCAACATTCCAGCTATATGTTGTTCTATCGACAAGGAGTGTTGCTTGCTACTTCACTACGACACTTGCAAAATAACAGATCTGGTTAATATATTATTCAGCCATGACCGTGACGGTCGTTGGTCCTCCGTCAAGTAAGTCAACAGACATCAATATGGAAAAGACTACAAAGGCATGCGACGGCAATCTGCTGTGTAAGGTAATTCCTTTCGGAGCGTTAACATACATTTGCAAGCCTTAGCGCAAGCACGCCGCGTCTCTTATGCGTTATACAGTCTTCCATTCTGTTTCTCTATGCAAGCGTTTCACTAAGCAATATAATGAATGCCTAGAAAGTGAATGTAACACATGTTACATTTGAGATTACATTTTCTCAATAAAGTGCAGATTCTAGTACTCTTGTTGGGTTGAAGCCCATCGGGGATTCGAACCCACACCCATAGAGGCAGCCGTCTAACCCGGTCAGCCAGCGCGGCTTCCACAAGCCATCTATCATCTATGCTTAGCCTGTATGTACCCCTGCCCATGCAAGGAATATACCATGTCACCAGCAAATAAACGTTATGCAACCAGTGCTGTGGTATTTGGTGCACGTGAACAGTAGGACTGCTTATATATTCCAAACATTCGCTCTAGACTGTATATGTGACATGGGAGCATTGTGTACACTGGAAAGTATATCGACGTTATAGGATTACACTCAATGTCGCTACATGATACGATCTACGCAAATGTTTTCAGTGACAATACAGAACGATATTTACCAGGGTTACCTTCAGGTTCTTGATGAGGAGAAACTCATAGAGGAGCATTATAAGTTCGATATTGTATTGTTGAATATTATGTTATTGAAATCGTGTCCGTATTGTTTCACGGGGGCTTGTAACGCAAAAACATAGCATCAATATACAAACTGTCACTGACGAGACTATATTTACCAATATAAACCAATACACACACATTTTTAAGCGAATAGATTTAGTATGCAGTACAAATGAGCAGGTATTGTGGCTTTGAATTTCCGAGCTTCCGAAGACCCTAACTTACAAAATACGGCTTCGATATTTTGTGATTTATGTCTCATTTTGTAGATCAATCTATTGGCTTGAAAAGCGTGTACTGTTTCAAAGGAATTTGTCCTGAAACGAACATGGTGTGTAGACCTCGTGACACCCCTTTCCTTTGATATCGTGTGAATACACAATGCCATTTAGAAAGTGGTCGAATGTAACACATGTTGCGTTTGGGACTACACTTTCTCAGTAAAGTACAGATTCTAGTACGCGTGTTGGGTTGAGTCCCATCCGGGATTCGAAACCACACCCTCAGAGAAAGTTTCTTCGTTACAGAGAAAGTGTAATCTCAGATATAACGTATGTTACACTTGACCACGTTCTAAATGACATTGCGTATTCATAGCTTTCGGCATTGGGAGTCGGGTCAATTTACACTTATCAGATGGGTTTGTGGTCCAGACTACCATCTGTCCTACTTCCGCTTTTGTGGAACTCGCGGCTGAGCGGGCTAGACGGCTGACGTTGTGTGCTGGCGATTAGGTGCCTGACTCTGAGGCTGTGGGTTCGAAACATGTTTCAGTAATATAGTGGTTAGGCTCAGTTAGTGGCAATATATACCTTGATGTCGGTTCGGGCGGTGGGGTAGCCTAGTGGTAAAAGCGTTCGCTCGTGACGCAGAAGACCCGGGTTCGATTCCCCACATGGGTACAATGCGTGAAGCCCATTTCTGGTGTCCCCCGCCGTGATATTGCTCGAATATTGCTAAAAGCGGCGTAAAACCCAACTCACTCACTCACTGATGTCGTTTCACACGCATTGCCTCATATTGCCTCATATCTAATATCTTTGCGAAATGCGAGACACAATGGTTTGATACATTAAGGCTACATATTTGGAATTTGGAATATAATGCGAGAGCTTACCTGAAATAAATCCGTATGTAACCAACAGCCCTGTTACTGTCCGACAAAACGAAGCGATAGTCATGCCTAATAACACCAGAATTGCACCACCAAATGTTGTCAATTTGGAACCAACACGATGTTGAATGAAACCAGACACAGGACCTGCGGGAAGAACATATTTGAAAGGGATAACATCTTTCATGAAGCATTGACAACGACAGATATTTGCCTATGTACGTATGCACTTAAGGAACCCCGGTTGACATCAATATCTAGGTTAGAATTGGTCTTGCTTGTTGTAAGAGGGGAGAAACCGGATCGGGTGGTCAGAATTGATTGACACATGTCATCGTATCGATCTTGCATTTATCGATGCGTACACAGTTGATCACTGGATTGCCTGGTCCATTATTATAGACCCCCACCATATAGCTGAAATAAGAGGCGTGAATCTTATGCGTATCCGACAAATTCAAACATGACAATACAAAAAAGGACGCACGTACGGTATTCATGTTCTTGGATGCAAACGTATATCCTCGGGTGACCACAAGAGATCTAATGACATATATTAATCCTCATTTCAATGTGTTGCCTTCACAGTATTACTGATTTGCATGTACGCAAATGATAGTTTGTTGCGTGTTTCTCGAAAAGAAGCAAGCGCGACTACGAATAGTTATAGAAACATGTTGCCAGTTAGGCGTAGCTTAGCCATCATACGAGTATATTTCATATGCATGGTAGGTGAGCTGTCTTGGGCGCTAGGCTAGTGATCCAGCGAGCTTTAGGTAACGGGATCGAGCCCACCTGTGACCGGGTGTACAACTTTGTGTGCAGCTCTTTCAGTGTTGTCACAACCCCTAGTGTACAGTACACAAACCTGTGCACTTAAAAGAACCTACGAATCAGTTGGTAAATGAGAGTTGAGATTGATAATATGATGTGCCTTTGAGATTGACATCCAATGATCGAGTGAAAGAAACCCAGCGCCTTGATCATGTACTAGTTGCGTGGATATGTGCGCTTTATAAATATCCTATGGTAAATAATAATAATTTCATTATACATTCGTCATCAGCATTTTGGCTGCATGTGTTCGATGTAATCCCTGATTTCGATTGTTCTCCTGTGTTGAATGTTCTTGTGCGACATGCTACACCAATATATGAAAATGATTGTTGCCCTATTTTCTCTCATACCTGTCGCTTCTATTGGTAAAAGGTTGATGCATAAATATACAGTGTATATCACTGTTTACATCTATGTCCTGAATGTGCCACTCTGACATGATCCAATCCAGGACGTTTTTGTGATGTCATTCTCCACCTCTTCAATGATAGCGATGTTAATGACTCCTGATGAATACACAACGAAAGCCACCATAAGCTGAATGCTGAGCGCTGCGCCTAGGGCCACCCATGCGTACCCATGGTCGATGTCGTTCCTGTGCGCCATCTTTCACGGGTTCAGGGAATGGCAGTCTGTGTATAGAAGCAATGCACGTAATCAGAATGACATGTTTGGAGGCGTCTGTTCAGAAATATGAACCCAGGACACGTTTGAACTCAGTGTATGTATTTCCCCCACGTTTCTCCATCTGTCATAAAAAGGAGAAGCAAATCCATATTTCGTTTTGCTGTTCATGCATGAACTAAAGCCCCATTACATTTGGGCAATTTTGTAACTATTGCTTGTCTGTTAAACAGAGGCGAGAAAGCGACTGTTATTAGATATTTATCAGAAGGTTTGTTGTATCAAATACGCTTACATGCTGATGAAGAGGTTCATTTTGAGTCGAACATTTGAGACTAATTTAGCCTGTCAATACACTAACATGGCTGACCATATATTGATCCTGTATTGTAATCTATATCAGCGAGTTACATGATGTTGCATATTACAAATGAATCATAACTACTTACACTTTACATCGATGTCGACAAGCTGCACAATTGCGGTAGTTGTATGAGTATCGCGGATGACTTCATTGTGTAATTCCTGGCAGACCGAAACGGAGAACACGTGATGCGTTTCGCCCGAGCGAGTACTGATTACACTAACTCGATTTCGAACAAGTACTGATTACACTAACTCGATTTCGAACAATTATATCACTAGCTAGTTCTCTATGCAAAACATATTTTTATTCAGTAAATTATAGATATCTTTCTGATTGTATGCACCGACCTAATATTCATTGATTCATCCGTTAGTATCCGAACTCCACGCCAATGTTGCATTTACGCTTATCATTAACGTGGAGATTTGCTGAAGGCATTTAGTCTGTTTGCACAGCCTCATAGACAGCACAGCCACCCTGAAGTATGGCTGAATACCGCTGCTGATATCAAGTCAACACTGTACAACACGAGAAGGTGTTAGAGATTGCCCAGCTAGGTGAACGTTGATACTTAGACAATGACCCATCAGAGGTCAAATGCAGGTTACTCACGGGTGTAAGTATAGGTCATCAAAAGGTCACGCCCCCAAATTTTAATGCAAACACAACGTGAAAATTCAAGGTAAACCCTCATAATTCAGCAATTTAGGTTGCCGCCTGAACATCATACGTTTCTGGTATGACCAACATAAGTCGCTGGTACGACCGACAATGGATGCTATTATAACCGACATTGGTTGGGGCCAGGAACGTGATATCTTGCTGGTACGACCAACATGGGTTGCTGACATGATCGTGATAAGTTTCTGGTATGACCAACATGGGTAGCCGACATGATCGTGATAAGTTTCTGGTATGACCCACATTGGTTTGCTGGCATGATAGTGATACGTTGCTGGTACGACCAACATGGGTTGCTGACATGATCGTGATAAGTTGCTGGTACGACCAACATGGGTGGCTGACATGATCGTGATAAGTTGCTGGTACGACCAACATGGGTGGCTGACATGATCATGATAAGTTTCTGGTATGACAAACATGGGGCTGATGACATGATCGTGATAACTTGTTGGTATGACCAACATGGGTTGCTGACATGAACGTGATAAGTTGCTTGTATGACCAACAGGGGGCTGATGACATGATCGTGACAAGTTGCTGGTACGACCAACATTGGTTGCTGACATGATCGTGATAAGTTGCTGGTACGACCAACATGGGTGGCTGACATGATCGTTATAAGTTGCTGGTACGACCAACATGGGTGGCTGACATGATCATGATAAGTTTCTGGTATGACAAACATGGGGCTGATGACATGATCGTGTTAACTTGTTGGTATGACCAACATGGGTTGCTGACATGAACGTGATAAGTTGCTGGTATGACCAACATGGGGCTGATGACATGATCGTGACAAGTTGCTGGTATCGCCAACATGGGGTTGCTGACATGATCGTTATAAGTTGCTGGTATGGCCAACATGGGTGGCTGACATGATCGTGATAAGTTGCTGGTACGACCAACATGGGTTGCTGACATGATCGTGATATGTTGCTGGAATGATCAACATGGGTTGCAGACATGATCGTGATAACTTGTTGGTATGACGAACATGGGTTGCTGACATGATCGTGATAACTTGTTGGTATGATCAACAAGGGTTGCTGACATGATTGTGATAACTTGCTGGTATGACCAACATGGGTGACTGACATGATCGTGACAAGTTGCTGGTATAACCAACCTGGATTGCTGATATGATCGTGATGGGTGAATGACATGATCGTGATAAGTTGGTGGTATGACCAACATGGGTTGCTGACATGATCGTGACAAGTTGCTGGTATGACCAACATCAGTTGCTGACGTGATCGTGATAAGTTGCTGGTATGACCAATATGGGTTGCTGACATGATCAAATTGGGTTAGAGTTACATACTATTAGGTTGCTGGTATGACAGACTTAGGTTGATGATTTAACCATCATTGGTTGTTCTAACCATAGCACGTCGCTATGACACATATAGGTTGCCAGTATGCTCATCATACGTTTCTGGTATGAAGACCTTGGTTTGCTCATCACGAGTCTCTTGGATGAATATTACATGTTACTGGTTTGACCACCATAGGGTGTTGGTGTGACCATGCGTTGCTGATGTGACATTGAAAGGTTGCGGGTCAACATCATCACCGGTTGGTGGGATCAACATCTTAGATTGCTGGTATGACCGTCATTCCGCAAGTGTCACCATCATAAATAGCTGCTACAACAATGGACATCCCCTCCGTTTTGCTCAGGTATGTACACAATCAAGAAAATGTTTGCCCCACTAAACAATTTTACCTAAATCAGTTGCTTTTCAGTAGTTTTATAGTTGTTAAGCCTTAAAACCACGCAATCTTACAAGAAATACCCTCAATATGTATCCTTAAAGGTAATTATAAATATACTACCCATCAAAAGATTAGATTCACTAGTGTAAATGTAGCCAATTACTTTAGTCAACTGATCCAAACTAGATTTTGCAAAGTTTCGATTTAGAAAAAGCATACGATACAACGTGGAAACATGGTATCTTAAAAGATTTACATGAATTTGGATTTAGGGGCAGATTACCTCAGTTCATATCTCAGTTTTTAAACAACAGACAATTTCAAGTACGGGTAGGTTCCACATTGTCTGATTCACAGGGGCGTGTCACGCTTAGAAACAGCGTTAGAAAGACATATAGGTATATAGACCCTTCCCTAGTTCTATATAAAAGGAAAGGGATGTAACGACGGAACCACCCCCTCCTAAATCAAAGTTAGATTTCACCACGTAAACTATTTTTAAGTAAGGCCCGTCGAGGCCTACCACACATAAAATATTTGAAGACAAAGTGTTTGAAGGCTCTTGACTTACTAAAAGTCGTTTCAAATACAGAGTAGGGAGGAGATCAGACTACCCTCCTTCACCTGTGCAGATATTTGGTTTGCTCTAAACTAGACTACGGCCCCATTGTTTATGGTGGAGCCTGCAAAAGCAATTTAGACAAATTAGATTCTATCCACCACCATGGTCTGAGGCTCTGCCTGGGAACTTTTAGGACCTCTCCGGTAGACAGTCTATATGCAGAGGCTAACGAACCTTCCCTTGAACAAAGCTGCATTAAACTTTCACTGCAATA